TAAAAAAAAAACATCGTGCGCTTGATGAAGATCAGAGAATTTCATGACAGTTGCATCAACTTCAAGAACATTACAAGAACTTCAAGAAATCTTCTGGTAAGTTTAAAGATCTATGAAAAAAAGGTTAGAGAGTTTCAGGAAAGTTTTGAGAAATTCAGGGCAGTTCCATGAACATCCGAACAATTTTGGGAACATTTGGGAAATTTCTAAAACTTCAGATTTTTTTTGAAAAGTTCAGGACCGATTGATTTATTTAAAAAGAAAACTGCAGGAACTTTACAGAAAATCCAATAACAACGTCCAGAAAACTTAAAAGAATTTTGGAGTGTTACGGGATCTTTAATGAAGTTCCGATAATTTCTGAAAAGTCTATGTTAGTTCCATTATGGGGAAACTTACCGCCCCCAGGAAAAAAAATACGTTTTGATTTATTCTTAACAATATTAGAAAAGGATATCTTAAAATTCAATAACTATTAGTTTCTTTCTCTTTTTTTCTTGGCAAGACTTTGGACTCAAAAAACCGCATAGATCAACCTTTCGGTTTTGTTAAGAGTATAACTTTTTTCATGATGAGGTAAAAAAAAATTACACTTAAATTTTGACAGGAATCTAAGTAAAAGCTGTTTTTTTTATTTTCTGGATTGGATTCCTAAACAAGACTACATTCACCAATTGTTTTTATCTCATCATGAAAAATTTGTTGACTCTAAACAAAATCGACAGATTGATTACAGCGGATTTTTGAGTTCAACTTTGAGCCATGATGACATAGAAAAAATGTTTTTACTCGTAAAACTTCTTTAGAAAATATTAAAAAAGCAAAAAAGTTAAGCATCACCTTAACATCAGAAAAATTGCGGGAATCATAGTTTTGAGAATTTTATGATAACTTCGAGAATTTCAGGATAACTCTGAGAACTTCTCCATACATTTCAGGAAAATTTCAAGTACTGTTCTATTAAATTCAGGAAAATTGCAGGCACTTATCAAAAGTTTAAAGATTTTAAATTACTCCAATTGCGTGTAAAAAAATTTAAGGGAAGTTAAGTGAAGGCTGTTCTGCGATAGTTCCATGAATAACAGCAAAATTTAAGATTTTCAAAGAACATAAGGGAAGGTAAAAGAACTCAATGATTTTTTTAATGTTCGCAGAAGCTCCAATAAATTCAAAAAACTGTAAAAAAACGTCGGAATGTTAAGAGATTTTAAGGACAGTTCCAGAAACATCCTCAAAAGAATAACGAGCACGTCGGAGTGGTCCAAATATTTTTTAAGAACTTTAAAGTGAATCGCTGTGGAAGCCGTATTTCTGAATAATCTCATTTACACCTCGCTATTCCAAGAGCACAAAATTTAATGTCAACTCTCACGAAACATACAACAATGAAACTGGAACTTAGTTCCAATTTCATAAGCGGATTCGCAACAGTGTCCGAGATTTGTGCTCTAGAAAAATTGAAATAATAAGGCATATCAGCCATCATGACGGACATCTTTGGACACTTCAATCATCTGAAAGTAGATCCGAGTAATGAAAGGGAATACTTGTGATTTCGGGAAAATTTCATGGACAAACTGCGGTAAAATCTGTGAACTTCTTTAAAACTTCAGAGAAGTTCAAACAACTTGTGGATACTTAATAGAAATTCTAAGAACCTCAGACAAGCAAGCTCTTGAAATCTTCAGACAAGCCCAGAGATCTTAAGGGCAGACCCAATAACTTCATGAAAGTCCAGACTTTTGGAGAAGTTTAAAGATCTGTAAAGGATAATTTCTATAAATTCAGGATAGCTCCATGAATTCTAGGAAAATTTCGAGAAACTTAAGTATGGAGTTTCCTGAGAAATTCAGAAAACATCATACCTATTTTGGAAACATAACAGAAGTCCAGAAATCTTCTGGCGTAGAACTTTATGAGAACTGCATGAGCTTCCGGGTAGCTTCAAGAACATCAGAGAACATCAGCTTTAACGAATTAACGTAATTTGAAACTCAGGGAATTTTCATAAACATCAGTAAAGTTCTCAAATCTTCAGAGAAGTTCTGAGAACTACAGAGAATATTTGTTTTTTTAGGCTTTTCTTTTTTTTTTTTTGGGAATGTACAGAGAATTTGCAGGATGATCAGAGATCTTCAAAGCGGTTTCTTTAAATAATTGCTGGAGATCTTATAAAATTAGCAAGTTTTTTATTTATAACATTGTAGAACAACTTGCCTCGATTCTCTCCAATTAACCACTTTATTCGAGCACTTAAAATGACGTTTACTACCACTCGAACTTTGAAATAAAACATAATTTTGAGATTTTTTCTTCTAGAACCTCGAGAAAAGTAGCCAACATTTGTGTGTTTCACAAAAAAATAGAAATTATTTGGTCCAGTTTTGTGAAATCGCTTTTAGAAAGTCACACCAAAACTGCTAGACAAAGTGGTCAATTCCCTTTCAGCAAGAAAAGCATACGAAGTCGAGTATGAGAGGAAATGAGCGCTTCTTATTCGCTTTTAATCTATCCATATTCCGAAGCATGGAGAGAGCAGTGGAAAAACCACAGATCTGCTAATCACAACGTTCATGGCTCCGAGTCCCAGCCGGCAACGTTTTTTTTTTTTTTTTTTTCATCGGCATGATTCATTTCACTTACTAATACACTCCATATTTCTCTTTCTCCGTTATCTTGCATTGGACCGCAGCTCGGTAGATCGCATCCTCCGTCCATGCGGTCTCCACTAACATCGTGCGATTATGGATCCCTCATAATTGTAAGCAAATCTTACATCCTTCGGTTGGGTGTAGTATTGATTCTCATATGAGAGACGATGCGCTGAATTTGTTTCGCATGTTTTGAATTTAAATAACCAGTATAAATAAATGGTGTCTTTGTTATAGTTGCTTGAACTTTTTTAGGCTATTCGTGACTTTTATGGGAAATAAATAAGTGGCCTTAAGCGTGAGAGTACACCAAGACATACTCCTCTAAATAAATTATTACTCTATTTTGTATCCATTTCTTAGAATCCCTTGGTACCGGTAATTTACCGGTATTTACGGTACTGAACCTCTCAGTACCAAAATACCGGTACCCGAAAAAAGGGTCCGGTACCTTAATGGCGGGAGAGATCGTACAAAGTGGAACTTTTCAAAGGTTTTGAACAATGTGAGACTATGGCATTTGATTCTCAAAAATTGTAGAATAAATACATTTTCCTTGAGTTATAGTACTTTTTTCTACAGTAATTTTATTTTCCTGTATCAGAGAGGGAATTTCGGGGAAGTGGATCATTTCCCAAGTCCAGAATCCACGACAAAACCGAACAGTGGGACGAAATCAAAAAAAGTGGGACATGACCATTTGCGACGCAACTATTGATTGTAGCATTTTGATGTCTTCTAGAATGTTTCTTCAATTTTTGAATACCTTATCTGAGTGGTGAAAACTGTTGCTTAAGAAACTTGAAAAATGGTCATGAAAACAGCAAAACGTAATGAAATAGTTTCGCCGCAAATGGCCACGTTCCACTTATTTTGTGGAATATTTTTTTTTTAACTAGGGGAATTTACGTATTCTCGGCAATATAAGCAGCGACCATCTTTCTATAGCCTTGTTCGCTAAGGAAGTACACATATGCAGTATTGATTTGTTTACCAGCTTTTGCTGCCAGCTTCTCTAACAATTTCAGTCGAAAGAATTGTCCAACACTGTTTTGAAACGATTTTACAAAGCTCCAATCTTCTATAGTGAGAGCGGCTATTGTGGGCAATATCGTTTTATTCGGCAACCTTTCTATTTGAGCTGCGTGTTAAACAGCTGTGCTTTCATCGGCAACTCGAAATCAGCAGCATTTTGTAATGCGTGTGTTTTATTTTAAGAAAACCTTGCTAGATTGCTTTTTCTCAGTGGTTAAAATATAATCAAATTGAAGCTGAAAGACTAAAGAATCGTTTGAATGCATTCAGCGAAGTGTTTTCGTAAGAAAATCCAGTGAAATTAGCGTTTCAATTTGGGTTGCCGAAAACAGTCTGTCATGCCGAAGCCGTCATTTCCCCTATATGTTTAGTATTACTTCTGCGTGAAGTCAACGATTTACATAGTTGTAGATGCTAATTTCAAATAACAGACTGTAGTGTAGTGTAGCTCGCTATTCTACTATCTATATGCAATTTTCACACTGCCGTACTCTAACGGAACTATCGACTCTATACTTTCATCTTCTCCATCTATCGTATAAAAATTACCACTACAGTCTGTTATTTGAAATTAGCATCTTCAACTATAAATTTATTGTCCGAAAATCCTATTAGAGTTCACGTTCATGCATGACAGAGGGAATCCTGACTTTTCACAAACCCAGAACAAAGAAAACTGTAGAATACATTTATGTTGCTAGAATTATATTAGATTTCACTTTCATGTAGTACATGGAGAGTTCGGGTAAAGTGGACTTTTCCTCAAGTTATTAACACACGATGAAACCCGTAAAGTTCGATCCTCGAAATCATTTATCAAAAGAAATTTATAGAATGCAATTATTTTCCGAGGGAATTCGGGCAAAGTGGACCTTTTGTAAGATTCTGAACAAGAGACACTAGAGTCTCCTAATGATTTCATGCCAGCCAGGTGTAGTTCGCTATTATAATTTACAGTAGTTTTTTATACAGTTACTTAAACTTCAAGCAGTACGCTTCAATTCGGGCATAATAGACCAAATAGACCTTGCATCTATGGTGAATTAAGGGGAAGTGGGACATAAGGCCACATTCCGACATCTACCGTCTATCGATTTGTCGTTATTTTTTACATAAGAACTGCAATTTTTTAAGAACCTCAAGCAGAGGCAAAAATAAGTTCCGTTTCTTTTCAGGCAACATACAAACAGTAACCGAAATTCAACTAATTTTGGGGAAAACAGTAAAAAAAAAGTAACAAACTTGAATAACAAAAAATATAAATACGTTTGTTGGTGGTTCGAACCGAACATGTGGTAATATTTGCGCGCTTACCTTGCTCCATTTCTCTCTCCAATTCGCCGTACAATCTGACCACCATTTCATTGTCTTCTCCATCTGAGCAGCTCTGGCACGAGCTTCTTCTAATTCACGCTGCCGTTGGGACTGAAAAAAAAAGAATAAAACCATAAGAAATTTGATAACTAATGTCGTTGAATACAATCAAATGTAGACTTTTTTCTGTAGTCGAATTATCTAATATGAGCATGAGCATGATTGACCGCCCACGGTTGCTACTCTGTTATTGCCAGATCAGCTGTAATTACACAGAGAACCAATAGACGATGCTTGGGACTAGCAATCATCCTCAATGTGTAAAAACTGGTGATCTCAAATTAGGCAATACCAGCGCCAGCCGCGCCTGAACGCAGGTCAAGAAAGGAATGGGTAGGAATGTGTTGACGTGACACTCGCTTTGATGGAAGCCGAGAAATCCTCTGCACTTCCACGAGGAGTCACTGGGATGTTGGGTAAGAGGGTTGGGTTTGCAGCAAGGTTCGTTTTGGTAAACGATAAGCTGAATTGATGTTTAAACGATAGGGAGGGGTTACTGTATAAATAAATAAAAAGGAATGATCTCAGCCAAATAACCAAGTGGAGCTGCACCAAAAGCAACCGGCCAAATTCATATTATATTATAATAAAATAAAAAGTAAATAACAATGATAAGCTATTTCATACACCTTCTGGTCCTTCAGGATCTACAGGACAACTTTTTTCTAGAAATGAAAATTATAGTTATATAATGATAGTTATATAGTGATATAATGAGATTTTAAAAATGTGAAATAAAACTAATTTACTAGTCATGCAATAAGTAAAATAATGTTAAATAAACAAGTATTACAAAATACAAATAAGCTCGATTTCAGTTAACCTCAATACATTCAACTGATTTCAACTTCTGATATTTTATTGGAATTGAAACAAACACTTTATTATGCACCATGGAATTTCTTAACGCAATATGGAATGCTTTTTTTAAAATATTGGTAAACTTTCATAATGCATCAATAGTCAGAAAAATCGAGGTTATTTGGACAGTTAACAGTTTTTTATGCAATTGTAATCATGCATTCCAATGTTTTTTTGTATTTTCCTGAACGAAGGCTGAAAATAGTGAATCATTATAATATTAATCTAAAAATGTCGATGAGCTGAAAATAAACTTAAAGATTTAAATCTAATCTAAAAGCTCTTTCTACACATCAGCCAACACTACTAATAGCCTCACAATAATTATATTTAATTTTCCTCCCGCCGATTCTAGCCGCACAAACCGCCAGAAACACAAAATTCAAATCTCTGTAGTCGAATTATCTAATATTGAGATAAATATGTTCCAAACTCTGAACCCATTTGTGCAGTCAATGGTAAGAACCTTGAAAACACTTCAAAGACCAAACCAACTACTATAAAAACCGAAAAGTTTATCGAACTATCAATAGAAACGCAATGCAAGGTGTCACTCAAGTCATCCCAATGTTGGAGCGTCCCGATCTTCCTATAGGGCATCCCAGAAAGTATACTGTACTTATGTTAATGAATTCAATTTTTTATTTCATATATATGTTCTCTATAGTATTCTCTTTCAATTGGAAGAAAATAATTCGCAGTTTCTTTAATCATATGCCAAAGAGCAAACATATAATCTGACGGTGCCCACGAGCTTCAACACAGATTCCTTGGCGATTATTTTGGCCACTTTTGTCCAGTCTTTTTCAAATTCTTCGATTGAATTCGCTGCCTTAAAGTGTTTCCGTAGATATCCCTTGGAAAAAGGTCCAAAAAGTTTCGATTGGTCGGGCCTCCGGACAAGCCGGAGGATTCATCTCTTTTTGTAGCTATTGGACATTGCATTGTTTGCTTTGTACCAAGCTACCGTGAATTGATGCCAAATTTATCGGTAAAAATTGACTTATCGGCATGACCATGACCGGACTGTGTAGTATTGGTCTCCTGGAAGCGTGTTGTAGTCAAATTTGACGTATGTTTCATCGTCCATGTTGACACACGTCAATTTTACACACAGCAAGCTATGATATAGCTTCCGAGCCCTCGATTTGACGCATTTTTCTTCTATTTCTTGAACGTTTTATGCCCGTTTCTTGCCTTGGCACGTTGGACATTACTCTTTGATGTTCTCAGTTTTTCGGTCCAGTTTTCGATCCACCGGTCCCAGTTTGCGGCCAGATTTCGATGTGACCTCGGAGGTAACTTCTCCATCTAACTTTCGGATGACTGTTTGGACTGCTCCGATACTTACTTCCTCCATTTTCGCCAACTTCCTTACTGCACTCAAACAATTCTACACGTCTGATCGAAGTGTTTAAACACTTGATTTTCCAAATGCGAAATCACATTTATTTTAAGTGTGTTTCACCTTAGTTGATTTCTAGTGGTTCGATCTTGGAAATGTTGAAAATCTTTCACTATCAACGCAAGTGTATTGCACGTTACTTCACACTACTGTTCAAAACAGATGAGTTTGAAGTGTTTTCCATTTCAATGCGATGTGAAGTGCTTGTTCTGCAAAGTAAACATCGAAAACATGAGTTCTAACTTCATCCTTATCAACCAACATCATATATGAGAACAACCGTGGCCCAGTGCGATCGAACGAAGACAACGGCAGCAGCATACTCCAACAGTCCAAGATCAAATCCCAAATCAGACTCATTAGGCTCCGAAAAACGTGTAACGGCAAGTTTGCAATAGCATAACTTAGCCATTTCTTGATGAATTTCAAAAATTGTGGTATTTTTAAATTCCTAGGGTCTGTCAGAGGCGTCGCGTGCTTCATTTGTTTACCTGTGCACCAAACTTTGTTTCGAATAGTTTACCACCACATATTAGTTTTTGCATTAAAAAGCTCCATGAATTCGAGGGACATATTCTCAATTACTATATTAATCTCTACCTAACGTAAGATTTGAAAACTTGTATGGTCCTTTTCGCGCTAACCAAAACGTAACTAATTCTCGTTTTTATCACAAGGCCAACTTTTTCGATTGAAGAGGAATAAAGAATATCCGTCAAACACTTCCTAAAACATTTGTTGATACAAAACAGTGTCAAAATATAGAGAAAATTTATGAAATCCCCTCGGCAAACTTGAATTAATCAACTCTTTATTCATCAGAACAACACTATCAGAATGAACCAGGGGAAGCTCATAAGTTGTGACTGGCGCAACGGCGCATTCAATTGAGAGATTTACAACTGACAAGAGAGTGAGAGCGAGCTTTTGCGCTTTACTCTCTTTGTCTGCAATCAGATATCTAAGTGCACAGCGAGAAATGCACGCTTTAGGCACCCATACATCACAAATGTTCTTCTAATTTGAACTCATACATTCAAACCGGATTGCAAGTATGATACACGTCCAAAGCGTACCAGACTGCTGTTTCCGTGTTACTCCCGGTTTGACGCGTGACTACTGAAAGTTTCAATTACAACTAGTGATGCAAACCGCCGTATTGTGGAAAATTTGTGGTATGTTTCAAGAGGTGATAGAATGTCTGCTTGGCGTACACCAGGCATTTGACCATTCACAAACTTGCCACCCGCCAAACAAAAAACCCGCTTTTAGGTGCACTATTAACGAGTTTTGTCATGGTAGTGATATCGACATGCTTAGAAATCAATGCATAAGGGATTAAGCAGACCATCTGAACTGAATTTAATCCCTTTTGAAGCAAACCACGGTCGAATGTTTAATTGAGTCACACTATAAAATAGTGTATTCATCAGGGCGTCACAATATCAGCTTCAATCGACCAAATCGATGCGACGAAGAGACTGCTGGCTTTCTTTTTCTGTTAAAGTCGAACAGCTTCGCAGCATTCTAGAACCTCAGTCGGCGTGCACAAACAAATGTGCAATCGCTTGTCTCTCTTTCTTTCGTCGCTCCATTGGTCTTCCTTTCAAGCTTCGGTGAAACGGATGAGCGAAAGAGCGCTCGACTTTGATAGTTTTCTCTTTCATGAAACACATCAACAGAGGTTTCATGACGCATATGACGGAAAATGAAATTACATATTTAAAGCATTTCTCATGTGAAAACAGTTGAAGATTACACGTAATATGTTTAAATTATCTTCCATCCACATATTTTTTTAAAAAAAGTTAACGGAAAGGGGACATAACGCATTTTAAACAAATTGAAAGAGCGGTGATAGAGTGTTCGTGAAAGGGGATTGAAAGCCATAATGAGGTTTCGTTTAACTAGAAAATCGACGTTACTTACATTGAAAGCGATGAGCAAAGCAACGACGAGAAGATCCACAGCCAGCGTTTCCTTCTAAGCGTGCTTCTTTTTCATTATCATTTCTAGCTGATAGTCTAGCTAGGCGTTATAGAAATGAAGCGTTGAACGCGTTTTTATCAAGGTTGCAAAGACTCATTTCAGCTAAAATAATGTTTTTCGGAATAATAAAACCAAAAGATGGTATGATGACATGTTTTACTTGTAACTTACAAGAAGAGGTTACAAAGTATGCGTTGGAAACATAAAACCTGTAAATTTTGCTTTCTATGAGTCACAATCAGCGATTTGCTGATCGCTGAGTGAGTGAGTGAGTGAGTGAGTGAGTTTGTGAAAAATCGCTGATTGTGACTCTCATGAAGTGAAATAAACAGGTTTAATATGTCAAACACATTCTTTGCAACCTCTTCTTGTATCCTACCAATTCAAAATTTGATCATGGCATCTAATTATTTCATAATTTAGAAAAACATTGTTTTAGCTGAAATAAGTCTTTGCAACCTTGGTTTTTATGAGAGAAACAAAACTCGAGTTCATTTTAGAGCTTCGAAATGAAGAGCCCTGGTATTCATGATCACTTGTGGTCTGGAGTAAAGAAGAACAGCTATAATGTGACCATAAAATCTATTAAAATCTTTTTTATTATTTACACCTGTGTCGTGCACAGGTTGCACATGTGGACGCGACGCCACTGGTAGATTATTTTGATTGTAAAAAGATTAAAAATAGGGTCATCTACTTTATTCAAAAGCGAAAAGAGTCGTTACACGTTTTTTAAGGAGTGTTTGTGGGTTTTGCAAGTGGCCTAAGATCCATAAATGAAATTAATGGGCACAAA